CCTCCCCGGCCTGGCCCCCCTGGCCTCACCCATGGGCTGGATTCTTGGGAGGAGGAACAACACGTATTTATCCCTTGGTTAGTCCGTGCAATGGTAGTCTTCCCCTCAGATGCTAGTGTCATGGTCATCTCTTGTCACAACGGTGACTAACTGCCCTCACCACCCAACACGTATATCTGACTGTGCCTTTCCAGGGTGGGAAGTATTCTGACTCTGTGCCTTTTTCTCCTTTTATTAGTTTACAGAGAAGTAAGTTTCTATGACATTTTCTGATATAGTTACTTGTGATTTTTGAAACATACTCCTCCCTTTCCCCATGTCCCTACCACCTGCCCTTTCTTACCCTCTTCCACCTGCAGTTTTCTGTTGTTGTTAATTGCTGATGTGGCTTATGCTAAGTACTTCTCTGAACCTTCAACTCTTGTAGGACTTTCTCTCTTCCATGAGGGAGGTGTTCTTCCACCTCACCTAAGATTGGCCCATTTAATTGTGTCTCAGCCTACAAAATCAAGCTCTACACCTGCCTCACTCATTCCAGGCCTGTTTCATTCTCACCGTCTCCACTGGTAGCTGAGGATGGCCAGCAGACAGCTTTACTTTCCTCTGCAGTATACCATTTTGTCCCAACCATTGGCAGCCGAGCTAAGAACAGCTGCAACGACACAAAGTCTGCTGAGCGAGGTCCCGGTTTTTAGGTTCTCCTGGAGGCCCATCTTCCTGAACCAGATGTCTCTTAGACCTGCTGTGAACAGTGACCATGCTCACACCGATATATGACACATCAGGCCATATCCAGGCTCTCACGGCCTGTTCTGTGGTTGTTTTGATATTGTCAGTACCACAGTAGGTGCTCCACAGGGGTGCTGTGGTTGGAGACTCTGCCTAGTATTAGTACGGAAGTTTGCTTCTAGGGCAACTTGCCATTGTGAACATCTACACTCAAACCTTCTCCCGTTGCTTTAGCTCTGTACTCTCAGGCTGGTTCTCAGCATTCTGCTGTCCCAAACGACTGGATCTTTTCACCATCGGGTAATTGGTGGGGGCTAGATAGGGCCAAGGCCCTTTGGGAGTTCTGTGGATGGAACAAGGAATACCGAACTTTGATTCCTGAACAGGATCATGCTTGGTAAAACCATCAAGGGACTGGCACCAGGCTTCTGAGTGTCCCCAAGGCCAGGGTTTGGGACCTGACAGTTTCTCCATAGAGCTGTCGTCAGAAGTTCCAGACATGTAGATGCAAAATGCTTTGCTTATTGTACCAGCATGCACCTTTCAAAAGAAGACACTAAAGTTGTGCTGAGCTCCCTGTAATCCAGATACCTAATGCTCCCTGCTGACCTGCTTTCCACTTCATTATTTGTGGGATATGTAAAGAGCTATAATTAATAATAAACTTACTGGCTTGGGTCATCAGGCCTGGCAGCCCTCATGACCCCAAGCTTTTGACTGTCAAAGTTTCTTATCCCTAGTCCTTCCTCCTTGGAGTTCTGGAGTGCACCCAGCAAGAACCACTGGTCCAGTTCAAACTATGTCTTTCTTTTTATCTAAAAGCATAGTACAGAGAATTTGAATTTATGTGAAACTTCCCTATGATAAAATTATAAACTTCAGTTTTTTCATTCTCATTAGTCAAGGGCCAACAAAGTGTAAATAACAAAGTTTGTTGTTAAAGATCATCTAAAGGTAATTCTGTAAAAGTTTGCAAACTGAGTAAATGTTCATCATGCTCTTGGAGACCAAAGCTCAGGAATCGTTGACCTGAAAGAGTATCAGTTTTGAGTACTGTGCTTTAATACATTTAATTTATTATGATTTTACCAGACACAGAACTTTTCTTAGGACAATGTATGCAAGAATTCACATTCTAGATTTTGCAAGGACAATATTAATACATTTTTTACTTAAAAAGGAAAAACCTAAAACTACACTAATGTGCATTACTTTGAATCAACATATAAAATCCAGAAATATTAGTTGATATGAAAGAGAAAAAAATTGGAAAGTGTGTTTTGCTTCTGCATTTTGCAGCACTGTTTGCATCTAAGTATCAGATAGTATGCACACCACATAATTTTGATTTGATTGATACTGCAAGTTAAGTAAAATGATCTCAATTCAATACTCATATCTAGTGTTAGAGTGTTGGAAGGGTGGAACAAGGCTGAAGAAGGGTGGAAGAAAGGAGAACCCACAAAGCAGTAATACTGGCTACAAGAAAGTTTTAAGTGAAACTGAGCAATCTGTTCAAGAATCTTCATCATTATGTGCAATTACCATAGAGACCTGAAAGACAGATAGCTGTCTGTATTCAGCATAGCCCAAGTAATTCTATCTGAAGGCCCAGTAAGGAAGTGTTTAAGAAAGTAAAATAAGTGAATAAAAACTAATTCTTAATGTTTGATTCAGTTGTTTCATGTGTAAAATTGTCATTGTTCATATTAATTTGGGTTTATGAGCTGCAGGGGCATATTTATAGTTGCCAAGATTGTGTGATGAAGGGAAATCATTTAAATGAAGAGACTATACTATCTTCAGTCACATTTTATCACTAACTCAATTTCCATATGAATATACATTGTCAGCTTTCAAATAAAAACATTCAATATTCCTTTAAGGAATGGAAAGTGTAGTAATACCATAGTTTTAAGAGTAATATCGCCTACATCTAGTGACGTTAGTGCAGGAAGGTGCCCTGCACGCCACAAAAAAAGAGACATAAGCACCAACCCAGCCACGAAACCTTTGACCTGTAATCAGTCCTGCCTGGTTCAGGTCAGTGGTGGTGCAGAGCTTGTGAGAGTAGCCAACCAATATCTAAGCCGACTAAGGCCACTCCATGAAACACAGCCTGTCGAAGGCTGTGCAGGGGGAGCAGCAAAACAGCCTTAGAACTCATGGAATTTGGCCACTGGCTAACACAACCACCATGGCGTACAGAGGCAGAGCCCCATCCATGTCCTGAGGACTTCTGATTGTTGTCTTCACGGTCCCCGCGTTCCTCATGATGTATGGATTGTATGAAAACTCTAGGGGCGGGGGGCTCCCTTCCGGCCCCTCACTGGACAGTGTCATGGCTTGATCTTTTCCAGGCGTTGCTGCTCAAAGAGATTAATGATTCAACCCCCACCCTCAGAAAGAACTTAGAGATGTAGACTGTTAGCAACATCCTTAGAAAAAAATTGGAAAAATTCAATGTTAGTAAGATTATGTTAAGATGCTTTTGTTCGTAGCTCTGATGTAGAAAATCTTGAACAATTTGAAGTTCAGAAAGGCACACGCTTTAGAGTTAAGCTAAGTACGTTTTGAGGTTAGGGAGCAAGAACAATAGCCCAAATTAGCACTTGCTAACAAAATTTTCTCGCTGACAGGCTGGTGATCAAGATGTCATTAATGTCTCATCCCCATTTTCACCCTCAGCTTTGTGATATGATTTAATAAAATTGTTAATGAAGAGATGTGCACGTTTAGGATTTAAAGTAGAGATAGCTGATTGTTTTTATATAAAAGTTTAGACTTGTGATTTTTTAGGATTTTTATAAGATTATCTTTTAAAGATAATTGATTCTTTCTTTTTAACATTGCAGCCTGCCAGTAAAGAAAACCTGGGTAGGAAAATTACTTTGCTTGCCTACACTTTGTTACTCTTTAACAAGCTTCTTAGTTACAAATGTATGTAGGTTCTTGAAATAATTTGATTTTTATCCATAACGTATACAACATTTGATCATGTGAGGGTATTTGAGGTTATTTTTCTATTGTATTTGTCCACTTAAAGAAAAATAGAATGTAACTCCATTGCAATTTTTGACTTTTTGAAAGATTTTCATGGGATATATAAGCTGTAGGAGAGAAAATAAAATTATGGAAGCTCGCTATTTCGAGTTTGCTTCATCCACCAAATGTATGTATGTACGGACATGCATACGTACACTTCTTGGAACTTTTTTGCTGGAGTTTGCTTCACTCACCCACTGCATGAATGTGTGTGTGTGGGTGAGTGTATGTATGTGTGTGTGCATGTGGGTATGCGTGTGACTATGTGTGAAGTTGTGTGTATGTGTGTGTAATTCCTTTCCCTCTTTCTTTTTCTTCTTCAACTGCCACAAGATCATGAGTTGCTGGTTACAAGCAGTCTCAGAGAATCAAGCTTTGTGCCCTCGGAGAAATGTCTGCTGAGTGATCAGTTATTCCCTGCCTCAGTTTACCACTGGATGTTGAAGCTGGCTTCAACAGGACCCCACACCTGACACTACTTGGGTAATTAAACTAGAGACCTAAGGTAAAACCAAATACTATTGGTTTAAAAAATGTATCAATAAAATGACTCCTAGTGATATTCTGCTATACTCACAGATCAATGCCTTATTCACTCATGATCAGAGAAGCTTCCTTCTGCAGCAGATGGAAACAGAGGCAGAGAACCACAGCCAGACATTATGCAGAGAGAGAGAGAGACAGAGACAGAGAAAGAGAGAGAGAGAGAGAGAGAGAGAGAGAGAGAGAGAGAGAACGAGAGAGAGAGAGCCCACTCCTGGGCTCTTTTCATTATAGTGAATTGTTTGGCTCTGTTTTGATGTTAAGATTTTGTTTTATCTAATTATATTTTATTTTGTCACTATTGATTGTTGTCTCTTAGAAGCCTGCTGCTCTCCAAAGAAAGAGAAAGGGAAGAGGATCAGGAAAGGAGGTAAGTAAGGTGGAGAAGAGTAAAGGGAAGGGAGGGAAGGGAAACCGTGATTAGAATATCTAATACTAGAAAAGAATCTATTTTTGATTACAAAAGAGTGACATTAACTTGATCAAAGTTGGAATGTCTTCTGCGTTTATTTTAAGGTCCCAGTCATAACTATTAAGTCAGGAAATTGGCAAGGCTTATTTTTGATCTTGGCAAGTATGTAGAAAGATGGTACTGAAGAGTTAACATACAGTGTGGGTCCTTATTGACTCATTCTGCTTGATTTTCTGTCATCACCAATTAGATTTGAGTTTAAACATCTCGATCAGCTTTGTTTCTGACACAGTTTCTCTGGAATCACGCTTCTTATCTGTTGGCTCTTCACACAGTATATGACGGGATTCATCACTGGAGGCACAAGCAGGAAAATGTCAGCCATGAGGATCTTAGATATATCAGAACTATGGTTGGCAAAGCGGAACTTAACAGCAAGGGAGATGACAGGGACATAGAAGACGAGCACAGCACCGATGTGGGAGATGCAGGGACTGAGGACTGTGAGCCTTTCCCTTTGGGATGCAATGCCCAAAACTGCTCTCAGGATGAGCACGTAAGACAGGAAAATAAACGTTATGTCAAGGAGTCCTGTGAGAGCTACAAATAAACCATAGGTGACACTGACCTTGTCGTCTGAGCAGGCCAGCTTCATGACATCCTGGTGAAGGCAGCAGGAATGTGACAAGAGATTCTTCTGGCAGTATCATAGGTGCTTTAGAGTTACAGGGAAAGGCGGGACCAACAGAGCATTCTTGAGAGCAAAAGCAAGCCCAACTTGAAGGACTCTGGCACTGGTAAGGATGGAAGTATATCTCAGAGGGCTACAGATGGCAATAAACCAATAAAAAGACATGATGAGAAGGATAGATGACTCCATAGCTGAGAATTCATGAATAAAAAATTCCTGGGCAAAACACACATTGGGAGAAATGTCTGGAGAATTGAACAAGAAAACTTTTAGCATGGTAGGAAGAGAAGAGATGGACAGTCCTAGGTCAGAGAGAGCCAACATGGAGAGGAAATAATACGTGGGTCCATGCAGAGAAGGCTCCGGTTTTATGAAAAAGGGAACAGTTACCCAGGATGGCAGCAGTGTGTAGGAGACACATGGGGACGGAGATCCAAAGGTGGGCGGATTCCAGCCCTGGGAACCCAACCAAATAGAAAGCAGAAATTTCAGTAACTGAGATGTTGAGAATGGGCGTACCAGTATGTGTGGAATCAAAATGGACAGCTCTAAAGAGCTGTGTTGTGGTGTGAGAGCAGAAGGGTTTAAATGCCTGAGTTTGTCCTGTTGAAACCTTTAAGATGTTTTCAAACCAAGAGATGTAACAAGTATTCTTAAAGTGCACCTAAAATAGAGGAAAATAGATCATTATTAATTCTAGTAGTTCATATCAAACAAATATGTAGCACATATCAATATCTACATTAAAGCATAGAAAAACATATCAATATCCAGATCTTAGTGAGTACTGGTCATATTAAGGAGCACTGAATTTTTTCTGGTTAGAGCCCATTATTTCTTTCTATTCTTTTCTCTTTTACATCATTGCTTTCTGAGATAGATTCTTGAATGATTCTGTGCTTTCTGTTGTTCAAGCCTCATGCAGTTTTAAGACACAGTCTTCCAACAGACAGGTCTCAGCTTGTTCTCCTTTCACCGTGGATGAGCATAGTCTCTTTAAAATGGATATTTTGAACTATTTAGTAGTTAGTTGGAAATGTACAACTCATTTAATTTTTATGTTGAACATTTTTAACTGAACAGTCACTTCTTATTAAATGTTTTGATGCCATCAATCATTATCACATTAAGTAGTTTCTTTTAAAATGTCTGTTTAGTTGCAATATCTTAGATATTTCAATTCAACACCTAGTTAGGTAGCTTTGTATATATACTTTAACTGTATTAAATAGTTTCATTGTGACATTACAGTGCATTTTTCCTTTTCATTATCATGTATTACAATTTATTCAATTTGTATCCCAGCTGTGACCCCCTCTCCTCTCTGTCCCACCATTCCTCCCTCTTCTTCCCCTATGCCCCTCCCCTAGTCCACTGATGGGGAGGTTCTCCTCTTCTTCTATCTGACCCTAGCCTATCAGGTCTCATCAGGACTAGCTGCATTGTCTTCCTCTGTGGGCTGGCCAGGCTGTAGCCCATCAGGGGCTGGTGATCAGGGAACCTGTCACTGAGTTCATGCCAGACAAAGCCTCTGCTCCCATTACGAGGGACCCCACTTGGATACTGAGTCTATGGGCTACGTCTAAGCCCAGGTTTTAGATCAGCTCCATGCATTATTCTTGGTTGGGGTATCAGTCTCTGCAGGGCCCCCAGGGCTCAGGTTTTTTGGTTCTGTTTGTCTCCTTTTGAAGCTACTGTCCCCTCCAGGTATTTCTATCTCACCCTTCTTTCATAGGATTCCCTATAGTGAGTATTTTAAGTTTAACTCTCTATTCATTCATGTTGAATTTTTGTTACATTTATTGGCATTATAATATAGTTAACAAGTTATTATCTTTCTTTTCTTTCTCTAAACCTTCCTGTATGCTTCTCCCTGATTTCTTTCAAAGTGTTGGCTGCTTTTTTCATCAATTATTGTTACATTACATGTATGTATGTAGTTTATTAGTTTGTCATATTTAAATATTCTTTTAAACTTAGTGTTTGGTCTCTAATTTTTGAAATTATCAATCGCTTTTACAATTACTCTTCTTTTACAATGAAATTATTTTAAATCTCCGTGTATTCCTGGTTTCATTTACCAGTCACTATTATTCCCATTCATTTATTGGTGTGCTTTCATGCTGTTTATAACTTATTCTTATTTTTAACTCTTAAATAATATAGATTTGCTTATGGGACAATGTGCTATATTGATGTACATACACAATAAGAGATGATTGCTTCTTTAAATAAACTATATTAAGACAATATTCGGTTTTAGTAAATAATGCTGTATGTACAATTTACCAGATCCATTAAGTATCTTAGTTGTTAATAAAGAAATGTCTGACATGGCATCTGTACTCCAACTTCCAAAATGTGCTTTTGGTGATGATCTGAAAGAAGAGGAATTTTTAGAGGAAAGCTGAAGATATTTTGCACAAACATGGGGGAAAAGATGTCATCTGCTCATTTGGTCCATATGGCTAAGTGGAGTCATTAGAAGTTTTGTTTTGTTATTGTCGTCTTGATGCTTACTTTCTCCAGGAAAGAGCCCCCAGTGGTTGTTTTATGTTAATTTTGTTGAATCAAATGAAATATTAAATGAGACCAATGCTTTGGCTGCTTAGAGCCCCTCTCCCGACAAGCTGATTTACAAACACAGGTCAGGACTCAGGCCTCAGCCTCTTAGCCACCAGTTCTTCCAGCCTGTCCTCGAGAAAGAAAATCTTGTTCCTTTGCATTTCCTCTCAGTTGCTGTTTAAGACACTCTCCTCCAAGAGTTCATCAATAGCTTATTCAGATGCGTTGATATTCTTTGGGACATATAGTGACCGACTTACAAGGTCTAAGTCTGTTAACCCTTAAATCTTTTAATGCTGTTTAAGGTTTGGATTTAAATCATTCTACAGCAAATTCAGCTGGTAACTTGTTTATATCAGCTAACTTATTACAACAAAACTACATGTTTAATAATCAGTCTAGAGAAATAAAGTAAGAACATTTTCATTCTTTATTATCAACCTGTATTTATTATAAATGACAAAAACACATGTTTACCACAATGAAAAATTTTTGAATCTCATTAGAGTATTTTTTGTTTGCAGAAAGACTGTTTTATTTTGCTGTAAAAATTGTGATTTTTTCAGAGAATTTAGAGGAAGCTAGAATGCTGCATAGAAGGTTTTCTAGGTCTATCTGTATCTCAGAAGAGCTTCTAGAATTCAGTTCTCTAGTTTGTGGAAATGTAAGGAAAACAGAGTAAAAGATACAGAATGTTTTCAAAGAGTGGAGTTACCAGGAAGCTCAGCGTTACGTTGGAGTTAAACATGAGATCATTTACAGTATTCTTTATACTGATAGTGGAATCATGTTTAGCGAGGTCAAATATGTATTGTGAGGGTTTTTTCTGTCCTCTGTTTACTTGCTTCCATATGGAAGTGAGTATTAAACGGTAAAAACCATAGTTGGATAAGGGTAAGCTGTTTTCAATAGTGCTGCTGGCTGAGATCTACAGAGGGAACACTGGGAATTTCAGACACTTGCGAGGTGTGTCCCGCCTGGTCCACACTTCGAAACAAAAGAGATGAACCAGGATAAAGCTACCCCAGTCTTGATTGTTGGTCACATTCTGAAAGGCTGATTCTTCCTCCTCCCCTTTGATGCCATTTAAGTGGAATAAAAGCCCTAGGGATGATGCTGCACGGCTTTTACCCAGAGGGGCTGAAATGCCGTAGGTCTCTTACGCAGGTGAAAAACCACCGAAGAAGGGTTCAGCTCAATTCCCAGTGTGCATATAATTTGGATGCTTTTGCAAATGTCTGTGAAACTGCCCCTGCCTCATCTAACAAAATTAATATTTTTATTAATTTATTTATTTAATTACTTTATAGCTTGATTGTAGCCCCTTCTCTCCTCTCTTCTCCTCCCATACCCCTCCCCATCTGTTATTCAATAAATCCATGTACTCCTCAGACTTCCTTCTTAAAGATTTCACGCTACAGTCACTACAGTTAGAAATAACTGCTCAACCATCAATAAAGACATCCTCATCACAAATTCTCCCCATCAAGGTTCAGAGACCATCAAGGAAGAGAGGGGCAAGAAGATTGTAAGAGCCAGAGGTCTGGTAGGATTGGGGTATAGCTGTTATCTAGACATGATTGGACCCTTACACTCATGTACTCGTGATAACTGTAGGTGTCTTTGTGAGATCTATAGACCGTTAAATTGGTCAACATTCTAGCATGCAGGGGGAGCTCATTTGCTTCCACATGTATCTGAGCAGTTATTAACACTTGATGGGTTCTAAAGATGAGACCGTTTTTCTTAGCAGTATGGCCCCTAGTATAAAGTGTATAGCTCAATACCTGTGTGCAAATAGGCTTCACTAATTAAACTTAAATGTGCTTGAGAACAAGATTCCTATTTCCAAACAGCTCCTACACAACCCCATAATCTAAGAGGCTGAAGCTGGGATTCTTCACTCTTTTTGGTGCCATGTTCTCCCTCAAAGATACCATGCCCTCCCACCAAGATAAAGAGGGACAAATCTCAGAGGCTAAAGACTCTGCCTTGTTGGTCCAAACAACCCAAATGGAAGTTAAGGGATGGCAGCCAGGGCCATTGTGATGCATAAATTGTGAGCACAATCCAGAATCACCCGACGAATGACTGTCTAGATCAGGCTGGCCTGAGGGCATGCCTGTGTGAAGACCCAGATGAGAAGCTGGCAGCCCCTCTGGGTCTGGGTTCTAGACAGTACAAAGGAAGCTGTGAGCAGCCATTCTTTTTTTTTTTTTGGCTGCGGATGTGACCTGTTTCTTTCCGGCTTGACTTCCCTGGTTTGTTATTTTGAGCTCAGCATTATTTAAAACACAACATAGCAAACTCGTGGTGGATTTTGAATGAGAAATGCTCTCTGTGGTGCATGTGTTTTAACACTTAATCTTCCTGAGAGCATTATTTGGGAAAGCTGCAGAGCCTTTAGGAGGCTCAGCCTTGCTGGGGAAATAGGATCTCTGGGGGTGAGCCTGGCAGTTTTATGGTTTGGCTCCAATGAACAATGAGCTAAAACACACCCTTTCTCACTTTAAAAACAAACAAAAAAAAAAAACACCATGAAGCTGGAAAGAGACGTGGGCAGGTCTGGGAGTAAAGGGTGAAATGCAAGTGGAAATGATCAAAATCGATTGTGCACATGAATGAAATTATCAAAGAATATGTAGACATATATTAAAAGATAATGTGTATAAAACCACTACTTGTTATGAAGGAAGAAGATGCGTAGATACTACTTTGGATATTTAAATGTCTTGAAGGTGTCCAATAAATACTAAAACGTATATACAAAGCATCTATTCCTGGACAACCAGTATTTAAAAATAGGCAAGACTATAAACTTAAAATCCAAATAGCCTTATGATATTTAAACAACAACCTTTAAATATGTCTTCTATAGTTTGAAAACTGACAGAAAGGAAACCTGGCTTATGTATAATGTCTAAATAGCAAATTTATAATGAAAATGTCTTAGGTGGTTGTTTAATAAAGAAGTCGCAAAACCGTGTAAATATTGTGAGCTGGGAGTGAAAATGTACCCTAAGTTATTTTGAGCTCAGCATTATTTCAAACACAACATAGCAAACTCGTGGTGGATTTTGAATGAGAAATGCTCTCTGTGGTGCATGTGTTTTAACACTTAATCTCCCTTAGAGCATAGCTTGGGAAAGCTGCAGAGCCTTTAGGGGGCTCAGCCTTGCTGGGGAAATAGGATAACTGGGGGTGGACCTGGTGGTTTCATGGTTTGGCTCTAATTTACCTTCACTCTGTTTCTTGAATATGTATGAAAACACAACTAGCCACCTGACCTCTCCTGTCAACCTTCTTCCTGCCTTGATGAACTGTAGCTCTTTAAACTGTGAGCTAAGGAGAATCCTTCTTTCCTCAAGTGGGTTTGTCAGGTGTTTGATCACAGCAATCAGACAAGTGACTAATATACACAAGAAATGAAGGAACTTCCCAGGTCTTTTTTTTTTTTTTTCTTTACTGATAAACAGGGATGTGAATGTTTCTACGAAAAATCTCATCTGATCTAATCTTACCACTAGTTATACCAACAATAACAAAGGGAGTTACGATCATCCTAAAATCACAAATCTCAACAGTTACAAAGTCAGTTTTTTAATTTTGGCATCTGATATTGATGGATAACTTTATATGAACAAAACAAATTGATTCTTTTCTCTTATAGAGGTAGTTGTGAAAAGCCTAGGGAAAATATTTCATAGTAAAATATCAAAAACTTTCCCTAGTATATGAAGAAAGAAGACAATATTTTATATAATTCTACCTTAGATTGTACTGGAACATCTTAGCTAATTCAATTAAGCAATGAATATAATAAAAGGTACAAGCCTGGAAACAGGACTGAAGGAATCTGACATTACTTTTGGGATTTGATTTAGAAGCCAAATAAAGCCTGAAGAGTCTTTTAGTCACTTAATAAACAGAGCACACCAATTGGTTGTCTAATGCCAAATGGTCAGCTCTGAAAATATACATGCAAGAAACATTGTATTTCTGATTAGATTATATTCAAGAATATATAATACATATATGCATACACACATATGCATGAAATCACCACAAAATAAAAGGCCATGAATTTGAAGGAAGGCATGGAGAAATGTATGTCCAGGTTTAAAGGAAAGAAGGGAAAGGAGAAATGTTTTAATTATATAATATCAAAAATAAAATTAAAAAATGTCTAAATACAGGATTTCTCCCAGAATAAAAGGGCTATTCTATCCTGGCTTTCTTTTTACATTTACTCATTAAAGTCTTGGGAAAATGTACTTTGTGTTTATTTATATTATTGAAAATTGGCTCTGCAGAGTCTTATACCCCAACCAAGGACTATGCATGGAGAGGACCTAAAACCCTTGCTCAGATGTAACTCATAGATTCAGTCTCCAAGCGGGGTCCCTAATAAGGGGAGCAGAGGCTGTCTCTAGCATGAACTCAGTGGCTGGCTCTCTGAGCACCTCCCCCTGAAGGGGAAGCAGCCTTACCAGGCCACAGAGGAAGACAATGCAGCCAGTCTTGATGAGACCTGGGGTCTCATCTTGATGAGGCTAGGGTCAGAGGGAAGGGGAGGAGGATCTTCCCTATCAGCAGACTTGGAGAGGGACATGGGAGGAGATGAGGGAAGGAGGGTGGGATTGGAAGGAGATGAGGGAGGGAGTCAGAGCCGGGATACAAAATGAATAAATTGTAATAAATAATAATTTAAACAAATTAATAAAAATTAAAAAAATAATGTCAAATACTTAAGGATGTATTTAAGGATCAAATGTAGGACATGCAATATCTATGCACAAATGTAAAATTACTGACAAAATTGAATGACTTAATACTACCATGATTCCTTTCAAAAATTTTTACATATTTTGTTGAAATAGAATAGCTCCTGTGTTCAAATTTTCTGGTTCTGTTGCTCTCCTTGTGGGGTTCCTGTCCTCTCTAGATCTTACTATTTCCCACTTCTTACATAAGTGGGAAATGCACTCTGCCCAACAGTTGGCCATAAGTCTCAGAGTCTGCTTTGATCATCTGCAGGGCAAAGGCTTTCAGAGGCCCTCTGTGGCAGCTTCCTACAAATACCAGGCATGGAGATAACCTAGAACCCCTGCACAGATGGAGCCCATGGCAGGTCAGTGTCCAAGTGGGTCACCTAGTAATGGGAACAGGGACTGCCTCTGACATAATCTGATTGGCCTGCTCTTTGATCACCTCCCCCCTGAGGGGGGAGCAGCTTTACCAGGCCACAGAAGATGACAATGCAGCCACTCCTGATGTGACCTGATAGATTAGTATCAGAAAGAAGGAGAGGAAGACCTCCCCTATCAATGGACTCGGGGAGGGGCATGCGTGAACGGAGAGGGGTGGTGGGACCAGCAGGGGAGGAAGGAGGGGCTTATGGGGGGATACAAAGTGAATAAAGTGTAATTAATAAAATAAAATTAAAAAAATATATATAAAAGAAATAGAATGGCTCACTTTTCTCCCTCCAGTTTTTCCCAGATACCCCTTTAGAGTTCCTCCCATGCCCTCACTACTCTCAGGTTGATAGACATTTTCTTTGATTGTATTTCTCTCTCTCTCACACACACACAATATGTATGGTTATGTGCAAGTGTATATAAATATAACCTGTTGAGTGCATTTTGTTGTTTTTGTGTATTTTTGTTCTCTATCACAGCTGAAGGACGAGAAATTCTTCTGCAAGATTATATCTTCTCGATACGATGGGATACTACACTGAGAAAGCGCAACAGCATGTCTTCCCAAACAGGCTCTCAACAGTAGCTAATATCAATCGATATGCCCATGGTGATCAGGGAGAACGCACAAGACTCCACCCCTAGATGAAGAATGACAGACAAACCGAGACCACTGAGGATGCGCTCCCTAATTCTTTATCCTTCCTAAAACCACATAAAAGTATACATTCAAGCTTTTAAGAAAGACTTAAAAGGTTGTATTGATATATTTATTTTGTGCGTATGTATGCATGCACACACACGTAAAAAACAGGAATGATTAAAGAAAAATTAAAAAAATTAAAATTCAAAATTTGTGAAAGAACTGGTGGGTATGGAGGGAAGAGCTAAGGAAAAAGAATGATATACTTGTATTTTAATTAAAATAAAAAAATTAAATTATATTTTATAAGTTTAAATACATTTATAGTGAACTCATTTCCTTGGGTCTGTTTCAAAAATAGGCAAACAATCAAACAAACAAGCAAGCAAGAAAAGCAAAAAGAAAAATCAACGAAAACCATTGCATGGGAAGAAGGACTAGGACCCAACAGATGGCAGTACAGGTGCATTCAAAGGGCTGCAGTTCTGTGCTCTAACCAAACTGATGGTCAAATGCTGCATGCAGCATTTCCCTTCTGGGAGTCTAGGAGATTTTAAAAGCTATCCCTCGTGTTGTACCCCAGGAGAGATGAGGAGTATTTTTAGAGATACAGAAATAACGAAAGCCTTAAGACTCCCAGCCTCAAAGAGCATCTGTAGTCAGTGCAGACCTAACTCTTCTCAGCTGAAGGATAAAAGCCAGAGAAAGCAGGAACTAAAACAAAAACGCAAGGACAAATGCAGAGACAAAGGCAAAGAAGAAATGGAAAAATAGAATTACAAGCTGAAAATACATAAATTTATATAAACCAAAATAGAAATAGCAGTAGGAAACAGAAGAAAGACAATTAGGACATTCAAAGAATAAATGAAAAAAGACAAAGCAGAAGACACAGAAATAGAAACAAGGAGACTATGGCTTTTATTTATAGCTGGAAAGTTTAGTCTGAAAGAAAGAAACACAACTATTAGTTACTTGGTAACTGGGCTATTGGTGACTTACTAAAATATCCTGATGATACAGTTGTCCTACACATAAACCCAGGTAAGCATTGGCTTTTAATTACCGTTAAATGGTGGATGGACTGTTAGCATATTATGTGTGAATGTATACTTCCAGAGACACAAATTTATAAAGTAAATGTATAATTTAGGTAGTGGGTTAAATTTGCGGACAATTTTGAAATGAGAAATAAATCATAATGTTCCACTTTATTCTTTTTTTTCCCAGCAATTTTAAACAAACGCTATGGAAAAACAGTTTTTGAGAACTACAGCTGTGATGATGGGAAGACTGCAAAAATCATCTTGTCCTCGGTAGTTTTTTTCTTAACTTTATGATCAGGTTAGTGTGTGACACGAGTCTTTCCCCTTTGCCTCTATCATTGTTCCCAGTGTTTTGCCATCATTTCTCAATTCAGTGTAATTAAATTTTACCCAAACCCCAAAATGAACTAAAGCATTGACCTATGGATAAAATAAAATGAGCGCCAAAGTACAGCGATAGAGGGATCAAGGAACTAGCGAAAACCATGAGAAATGGCACGCTGAGAGAAGGAGAGGCGGTACATCAAAGCTATACACACGGAAAGTAGAATGAACCGATACAGATAGCCAAGGATATGAAATGGGGAGAAGAACAGCAAAGGATGAAACCCGAATAAGAATAGAAATTTAATAGTGTAAGAAATAAAATAATGGTTTAGTCATATTTGGTGGGAAAGTAAATGTTTCATACTCTTACCACACACACACACACACACACACACACACACACACACACACACACACGATGTTATCTGTGGAAAGTGAAAGGATAATTTTCCTGACTCTTATAATCATTTAGATCTGCATATATAAAGTGTGCACTGTTCTGTATTATTAAATTCAAGCACCTGAAAAAATTAAAAGTATAAAGAAAGATATTTATATAACTGTTATATTCTTCAGTTTAGTATATGGACAGCCCTGCAACTAAAAATTTCTAGACATTCAAATCAGTGCAAAGGAGATTCAGAGCAAAACAAGGCAATTACCAAAATCATAAACTTTATTTACAGAAATATCTGAGAATTAAAGACAATATGATTTGTATTTAGGCTGAAATTCTTGTATAGAATAATGTCTTGGCATGGAATAAGAGAAATTTCACCATTGTGTCTAAAACACTAGTTGTGTGTGTGTGTTCATGTGTGTCTGTGTACGCAAGCATATTCATATATTTGTGTGTGTCCTGTGTATGTTGATGATAATGTCTAGATTGTTTTTGTGAGCTCAAATGTAACCCAGGAAATGTAACAAAGTTTTCTGAGTGAGGAAAATAACGAAGTCAGAGATTTCAGTAGAAATTAATTTTTGGTTCACATAGAGGCTTAGCAGGTGAGCGTTGCTTTAGTTAACCCACAGGCCCAGTGAAAGCGGTTTCCCGGCCCAGGGCTGCACTGGAGGAGCTGATTCTAACACAGAGGGGACGGAGTGCTCAACTCTGCAAAATCTAGAGAAGTTTTTACCATGTGAGAAAGTGGCTAGGTTGTAACTTCCCTTTGGAGCCACAGCTTTTTTGGCCTAAGCCCTTTGTTGTCACAGGATAGATTCCGAAGGAAAATTAAAAATAAATGTGAGCTTTTAATGGATGACCAGACAAGCTTTTAATGCAGTGACCGTGGTGGTAAAGCATCATCGAGGACCCGCTGGGCGCCACTGCAGAGCGTGCAAGCCTCATTTGGAACAGTTTCCCCGTTAGGTCAGGGCTCACTTACCAGTCAGAGGCGGGAGTAGCTGCCGCACAGGCAACATCCTAGGCTCATTAATCACCCCCTCAGCCTCTGCCTCTGCCTCTCTGCTTCCCCCCATCCAGAAATGAGTAACAACAAACTGACCTCGTCCCTTTTACTCTTTCATGGCATAAGAAACAATGTGGAACACGTTACTTTTCTGGTGAGAACATGCACAAAGCCACCATCAGAAGGATTTCTATGGGGTTTTGCTGTGAGGTGAAATAAAGGTCAATTTGAGGGCAACAGTGCTGAAGTCATGGGGTCAGTTCAGCTGTCACTCAGCTGCAGGCTAAAAGCAATCACTGATTCACTCAAGAGCATTTCTAAGGACGTCTGTGAGAGTCCTTATGCTTCTGCTTTGATTTTCTCTACTTCCATCTTAGTATAGAGTAAAACCTTCTGTATTTCGTGTGCCACATACTTAGCCAATGTTTTCAATGAAGTTCTCACAGTGATTTATCAGAGGATTATGTGTAAGGGGGTCACATATCTGATGTTCCATGATTTGAGGGAGTACTTCCTAAGTAATATTCACTGGGAATTCCTTCTTTTCTCAAGGGTGAACATAGAGGAAATACGTGTTTTTGTCTTGGCTGTTTTGTTTGCACTGAGAAAATTTTGACTGAGCACTAAAGGAGCTCTCAGCGGAGGCTCAGCATGCTTGCCTGGAACGGCAGTGATGTGGCGGAGCCCGTGTTCATCCTCCAGGGCTTTCCCGGGCTGGACCATGTCCACTCTTGGCTCTCGGTGCCGTTCTTCCTTGCGTATCTGGTAGCGTTCACTGGCAATGTAACCATTCTCTCTGTCGTCTGGACGGAGCCCTCGCTCCACCAGCCCATGTACTACTTCCTGTCTGTCCTGGCACTGACCGACCTCGGCATGTCCATGTCCACACTCCCCACAATGCTTACTGTGCTGTGGTCGGGTGCTCGGGAGATCCACGCAAGCGCTTGCTACGCTCAGCTGTTCTTCCTCCACACGTTCACTTTCCTGGAGTCCTCCGTGCTTCTGGCCATGGCCTTTGACCGGTTCGTGGCCATCTGCCGCCCACTGCGCTATTCCGCCATCCTCACCAGCACCGTGATTGGCAAGATCGGCACGGCCTGCCTGCTGCGCAGCGTGGGGGTGGTTCTACCCACGCCTTTGTTACTGAGACGCTATCACTATTGCCGCATCAACGCCCTCTCCCATGCCTTCTGCCTACACCAGGACGTCCTGAGGCTGTCCTGCTCCGGTGCCAGGGTCAGCAGCGTCTACGGGCTGTGCGTGGTCATCGCCACCCTGGGCGTGGATGCGCTCTTCATACTTATTTCTTACGCCCTCATTCTGAAGGCAGTGCTGAGCACTGCGTCCCGGGAAGAGCGGCTGAAGGCGCTCAACACCTGCGTCTCCCACATCTGCGTGGTGCTCATCTTCTTTGTGCCGGTCATTGGGGTGTCAATGGTCCACCGTTTTGGGAAGCACCTCTCTCCCGTGGTTCACATCCTCATGGCTGACGTCTATCTGCTTCTCCCGCCGGTGCTGAATCCAGTTGTCTACAGTGTGAGGACGAAGCAGATTCGTCTAGGAATGCTCCGCAAGTTTAGGATAAACAGAAGCTTTTAAGTTACTCATAGTCTCTGGTTACCCCTGGGTAATATTAGAAAAAAAATGCTTTATTACATGGAAAATGTATGCTATAGCTCTTGGAGCCTATCTTGCTAAAATAGAATAAGCTAATTCTTTTACCTCCTAAATATGTAGTCTCAATTAATTTTAAATCATTACATCATTTAGGTTCTCATGTCCCAATTGTGATGATTACTATGGCCCTTTCTGTACCTAAGACTATTATGAGAGTTAACAATAGAAAACACATGAAATGGAAATTCATTTTTTAAAAAACTATATAATTTTTTACAGTATAAAAATATTATTCTAACTTTTTAATGAAAAATGGCCCCTAGAGTAGTTAACGATGATAGAAAATTGAGAAATCAATATCATTTTGCAATAGTCTTTTTTTTTTACAAGTCTTTACAGATCTTTAATTCTGTGCTTTGAATTACTTTTTTGCGGATCACTGATTCCTCTATAATCTTCATGAAGATTATAGAGTAGGATGAACTTCATGAGTAATATTTTATTATTTCACATTAGTTACTTTCTTCTCAGTTGAACCGTGCACTTTCCGAGCATGGGACTTTAACTCCCCATTAATACAGCATCTGTGTCCAGTCTTCCCCAAGTCCTAAATCACAAATGTAAGTTGTAGCTATAGTTCTGTAACCCAAGTCAATATATATGGGGACAAATGAAATATGTATTGTGTCGCCATTTCTTTAAATACTGAGGATATCTAAACAACATTGAGCATGGCCTGAGTGGCAAAGGGGAGCTAGTGTCTTGAAGCGCTTGCTGTGTGAGCAAGAGGACTTGAGTACAGATCCTGGACACGGCCTCACATGCCTGTAACCTCACATCGGCAGGGTAAAGATAGGTAGAACCAGGTCAGATTGTGGACAAAAAAGACTGTCAGAGATAAATAAATAAGTAAATAAACGTCACAATATTTTTGAATTGTCAATTTAAAGTAAGGTGAATACATAAATTTGTTTTATTTTTAGTGCACTGTAAGAAATATCTAAGCTAGGCATGTTGGTTACATGCTTTTTATCCCAGCACTTGGGGCAGGTGGATCTGAGTTTGAGGCAAACCTGCCCTACAAGCAGTAGACAAGTAGAAAGAAGCAAGTTCCAGGACAACCAGGGCTACACAGAGAAGCCCTGCTTTACAGGAAGAAAGAAAGAAAGAAAGAAAGAAAGAAAGAAAGAAAGAAAGAAAG